CATTTGCAGGACATTGATGTTAGAGCAACATGAACTGTTCGATTCAACAGAGTGAATAAATGCCCTATTGCAACAGACAAAGAGATAAGGAAAAAAGAACCGGGGTATATGACTACAGATTTGATTCCCGTAATGAAATTTTAGCTGTCACCTGGAATGACAACAGTTGTGTAAGGCTTCTGTCCAATCATGAAACTATCGAACCAATATCAGATGTGAAGCGATGGAGGAGAACAAAGAAGAAAGATATTCAAGTACCACAAGCCAAACTGATATCAGAATATAACAAATACATGGGTGGAGTAGAAAAGATGGATTGGAATGTTCAAAAATACAGAATAAGGGGGAAAATGGTATTTTCCTTTGCCATCGACGTTACACTGGTTAACGCCCACGCACTGTATTGTATTTCAAATGATAAAATTCCATTGCTAGATTTTAGGAGGATGGTTGCTAGAGGATGTCTTGCTTTATCTTCAGAACTCTCAGATGGAAAAAAGGATGGAAGGAATTCTTTCACTAAAGCATCAATTAATTGTGTTTTTACTGTTATCAGAATATCTGGTATTCATTATATTGAACAGACCGAAAATGGTAAACAAAGAAAATGTGCAGTGTGTAAAACAAATGCGGAAAACAAGTGGAAAATGTAATGTTGGATTACATGTAGACTGTTTTGAACGCTGGCATTAAAAGTAGATATTATCAGCCAGAATCCCCCTCTGGGGATCCTACTTAAATTTAAAATTTCTGAAAAAAATTGACGCATTTATGAGAAAAACTTGTTTTTCTTATTATTTAGATGTAAACTGACAGAAATAAAATAAAAATTGATGAAATAAAAATTTGGCAGTTAATGGGTTAATGGTTAACTCCTGGGACGATCCTAGCGGCGCCACGGTGGTAGCATTGGTTGGCCAAATTTAAGGGGAGTGAAATGATTATTAAATATATTATATTTCAGAAAAATAGAAACGGCCAATTTTAATTTGCATGTGGGCGGCCGAGGGTCTAGGATCGGCACTGATTTACACCCATGTGTTTTACGCAGCATTTAATATGTCACTGTTCAATTTTTGTCATTTTATTGCAAAATTTTAATGATATAATATGTTCAGCAAATGTTCCCGTGATCGAAGGAAATAATTAACTTCTGAGAAATTTCTCTATTTAAACAGAAGATTTTTAAACCCTTAAATGGTAGTTCAACGAAATTAATTTCGTTCTGGAATAGTAAGAAGTTCACAGTAAAAAGTAGTCTGAAAATTTAATAAATAATAATAATTTTAAAATATGCTAGTGCTAAAAAAAGGCCACAAAAGCTAAAAGAAAGGGTACGAGTGTAAAAAGGGGATTTGAAACATACAATTTACATATGAAGTACAGGTTGCATTCCCTAATGCAAACAGGCAACTAAAATTAGCATAAAACGTAATCCCGAAGTCCCACCACAACACCTTAAACAGTGGAAATGCGTTGTAAGGCTCTCGGGATGTTGCAAGCTGGTACAAGACAATCCGCTGTTACGGGATACCTGAATGTGCATCGTAGTGTTACCAATAGGTTGTGGAATCATTACCAAAGGAATCAAAACTCCTGTAGAAGACGTAGGTTTGGACGCCGAGGCGGGGGGGGTATTACTACAAAAGCACACGATCTCTACCCGTTGCTATATACAAGATGCCGTAGATCACTAATAGCGCGCCAGCTGGGGTCACATCTCTCTGTTGCTGGCGGACTGCTCATATCCCACAAATCTGTGTCGTGTCCACTGCACAAAGGACGGTACGCCGGAAGACCTGTGCTTTATCATCCTTTGTCCCCATAGCATGTCAGAGCACGGCTGAATTGCGCCCGTGAAATTTGCAGTTAGTTTAGGTTAAGTGCGGGTTTCACATATTATTTACCTTGAGTAAGTACATATAGGTCCCTTAAACAAGGTATCCAGATCAGTGTTGGCAGATCGAGCGATTTTTCGCTAATTTGCGAATTTTAACAAATTTGAGCTAGTAAAATTTTAGTGTTTGCACATTTTGCGAAATAGCTGCGACATCTGTCACTTTCTTATGCTACATTTTGCGACTTCAAAGATTTTTTTAATGTATCATAAAATGCTTTTGTGTTAAAATATATATCAGTTAAAAATAATTTATATTGAAAGAACAGTTTATTTAGGCCTAAATAGGAGTTGACATCTGACAATCTTGTTTACATATGGGCTTTCCTTTTCAAAAGGCTGCTATAACGTGAAGGGGGTAATGGAAGGGGAAAAAGTGGAAAAGAAAGAAAAAACTGCTTTGGGACCTTCCACCTTCTCCTCCCTCATCCCCCGTTCGTCTTGTTTTTAAGTAAGTTTACCTACCTAGTTCTATGGTGATAAGGAATCGAACAAAAGAACTTGAAGCTTGAGCGCCATGTATTGAGTACCCTATAAGGTATTTCTCCCGCCTTCTTAGCATGCTTTCATGGTGTAGTGGTCAGCACGCTCGGTGTCGAGAGGTCCGTGTTTCGAGTCCCGGCGAGGGCATTGCTCATTTCTTCGAAAAATTCTAAAATGTCCCTACACTGGCGCCCGAACTAAAAGAGGTGGAGGATGACAATTCTTCACCACCAGGATTTGACTATTAGGTCCCCTAATCTCCAGTCGCTCTTTAAAGGGGGAAATATATAAGGTATGCCTTCGTGGTGTAGCATGCCTTCGTGGTGTAGTGGTCAGCACACTCGAGAGGGCCGTAGTTCCAGTCCCGGCAAGGGCATTTCTCATTTTACATGACTCCTGCTTCGAAAAAAAATCCTAATGACTCTACAACGCAAGCAGTCATACAAAAGAAGTGAAATTCATTCTCCTGATTATGATATTGCTAAGAACTAAGCAATGGAAATGACTTGAAAATCAAAGCAATGGCATTTTTGTAAAAAATATCAACGTAAATAAATTTAACAGTGAAAGAACAAGGCTTTCCTTAATCAGAATCTGGATTAAATCCAACATGCAGAACGGAAAATTCATTGAAAAGCATTCCCTAATTAAAATGTTCACAATTAAGCATAAAAAGATAATTAAAAAAATAACTGCCTACTCAAAACGTTTAGTACAAGAGAGTGTACACGTGAGGAATCTTTTACAAATGGATATGCACAGATTTAAATATAGAAACCTAAATTAAATGAGAATTAGTTAAAAATGGAGGGGAAATATCTAAAGAAGTGAAAATGAGCAATATAGCTTTAAAAATATTCGTTAAAGATACTTAATTAAAAAGACTAAGAATCAATTACGGTCTGTAATTTAAGAACCATTAGACAGTAAATTTGTGGTGACGTCAGAGGTCATGTGAGCGTGCGAAATTATGGCATCACAAAAATCACGGGATCTCTGACATCATTTGCGAATTTTGCGTCTTCTTTTGCTACTTCGTTGAAAAATGTCTGGCAATATTGATCCAGATTAGCAACACCTTCCTGGAGCCCACACTACTGTTCTGGTGCCGAGGTGCTACTGTTGTTTGGTGCAACCGACATCGCAACCTCTGCCATTGCTGGCGGTGTCACCGGTCGCCCCGTCTTATGTCCGGACCTACTTTGGCTGGAGGAGTGTTTGCTTGTGTATGATATGATTGCATGTTTATTTGGACACGAGAGCAGTTGCGCTACGTACGATTTACGGGTGAGAGTCGGTTTAACATTCAGAACGATACCCGAAGGGCAATGACATGTTGAGAGCCAAGGACACGCTAAGAGGCGCCAAACATTGTCGAAAGAGACCGTGACAGAGGAGGAAGCTTATTTGTATGGGCTGGAATAGTAACGAACGTCTCTACTGACTTCTACGTGATGCCTGGTGGTTCCTTGACAGCCGTTGGATATCGCAACGAAATTCTACACCCTCTTGTGTGTCTTTTTATTGCTGCAGTGGTATTGCGATATTTTTGGACAATAATGCCAGCCTGCATACAGCTCCAGTGGTGCAGAATTATCTGGAGAGTGAATCCATTCCACATGTGCTGTGGGCAGCTAGATAACTGGAACTTAACTCCAGTAGAACATGCGATGTGGGACATGTTAGGACGGCGGATAGCAGGTTGCAGTACGCCGTCAAGTACTCTCCACCAGTTCTAACATGCATAACTACAGAAATGGGTGCTATTACCAGCTTGCTTCGACGTTTTCAATCATGCATGTCAGCTAGAGGCTACCAATACCCGTTTTTAGCGTGATGTCTCCATTGTACATTCTCCCGACCAATTTGATCTTTTGCGATGCGACGGTGATAATAGCTGTATTTTCATATGGCTTTGCTTTATTGTTTGTTATGTGGTCTAATTATGCCACACCAATCTCTTCGATGAATTTCACGCATATTTATTGAATAGTTTTTGTTTTATTCCTCTTTTGCTTTTCTTGTTAATTTTTTGAGCAGAAGTGTAGTTAGTTTCTTTGCCTGACACTGCATTCCCCTCTCTCTGCGAAGTAGGAAGCCTATTATGTTAAACCGAAACCCTGTAAGACATCATTATTTTGGGATAAAATGTTTTACTTTTGCCCTTATGTAAAAACATACTTATTAGGGTTATATTAGAATTTAAATCAATGTTGAAATGATGTTATGCAGAAAAATTTTTTATAATTTTTTTAAGAAAAATGTAGAAAAATGCCAATTAAAAAGAGATTAAATACAAAGAGGCTAATGCAAAAACACAGTCAAAATTTCATCTAATGTTTACGTTTTAACACCTTACATTACCTTGTCAACTACAGCGAAAATAAAGGTTGCATAAGGACGTTTTTGAATACGATACGTAGTGCATGTAAAATTGATTGTGTTTTTATTCCTAATTTACCTTTAAAATTTACATAAGACCTGATTCTCCATTTATGTAGAGTCATGAAATTAGAAACTTTGATTAGTTATGATTCCTTTTAACAGCTAATCATGTTATAATTATTACTTGTTTTCTTCATTACCTATACTTAATTATTTTCTCCTGAAACATTTTCAGGAAAGTGCCAAATGACGATTCCTTTCTGAAATTAAATAGCATATTGGGAACTCAAGAACTAAGCTCGTCACGTGGAGAAGTGGCAGTTAAAACCAGTTGCGGGCACGTCATCGGAAAATCAGAAGATGGCTCGTATGTCTTTAAAGTAAGAATTAAGTTATGCAATTTATTTAGTAATAAATACTTTTTATGATTTAATAGTGTAGGCTAAGCGAGTCATGCAATATTTTGAAAACGTGTAACATTTAAATAAATTATATATAAAATCTTGTCTGCGTAAGTATGCTTTATTAAGGATGTTTGTAAACAGAGATAAATCTCTGCAAAACATTCATACCTATTACCAATATTTTACGCCGTAATTCCACGAAAAATCATATATCCTTCCTCTTCAAACTATTGAATATTAATATATTTCTTTAACGTCTTGCTATGTTGTGATCACAAATACAGAAAATTTTTACTGCTCTATTTATTAACCATTATTAAACAAACTTTGAAATTCAGTTTTTGCGAAATGATCAGACATGAGTTCTTTTAGTTAATGCAATTTTAATGATATTTTTCTTTTATTTATGAACGTGCTTTCGGTTTTCAAGTAATGTTTTCTATAAGTCATACTTTTGTTTACGTAAAAGGCATCTCCTTTAACGCAATTTCTCTACATCAGGAGCCTTGTGTTTCTTAACCCGATGTACGGGGTCTGAAATTGGGCGCAAATAATATCTTGCTCATGATCTTGGTTAATAAAGGAGATTATGAAACTAAATTAAAAGATATAGATCAAAGGGAAAACTAAACACGTTTTTTAAAATAGCAAAACGTATGTAATTTAAATCAAAAATAATCAAAATTTATCAAAGGAAATATTTAAACTACATTTACGAAAAGCAAGACTTTGTATGTGTTCAATGATGTACTAGATTCCTCTCGCCTTCTTAGCATGCCTTCCAGATCAGTATGCTCGGTGCGTATTCGAGAGGTCGGAATTGATTCCCGGCGAGCGCATTGCATATTTTTTCATGTCTTCTCCTTCAAAAAAAAATCCCAATGTCTCTACAATCTTAAGTTTTAAGATACCAATCCGCAGTTCCTGAAAACTGTAGATCATTCACTGAGTTCCCCAAAATGAGCTTAAAACGTTTATTCTTTATAATAGAAATGAATATTCGTTCACTGAATTAGGTTATTCATGTGACGGAAGCGTATGAAAATGAAACCCCTTTTTATACATTATAAATTACAAGACAATGTAATAGAAGTCGGTAAAGATCTGAAAATACTATTTTTATTTATGTAACTACAATCAGGATACAGAGGACAATATTGCTTTCTCGTGTGATTTAAAGAAGAGCTACAAGTTGAAATATTACGTCAAACGTTCTGGCCCAAAAGAAACGATACAAACTCTAACAATCAAACAACTAGTGTAATCATCAGCACATCTTTCGAAACTCTACATTTGACTATTCACATCAGACTAGTTTTCGTGCAAACTTTGCGAAGGCAGCAGATATACAAAGACCAACAATAAAAGAAAAATGCTGTCTACAGACAGAGCCCTCAGAGCAAGTGAAGTCCAGGTTGCTGATTATCAAATTACAAAAATAGTAAGAGAACATAAATATGAAATTAAGTATAGAATTAAAGCTCAGTTTAATTCACAATAATTTTTTTCTCTCGTGAATTCGATTGGTCCAGCCACTTATCGGTTAACTCCCTCTCTTTTTACTGACGATTCAATAGTTTGCAATAAATCTGATTTAAGCACAATTTTTCAGCTCAAACCTTCTTCTTGCCTTGCTTTCCCATCATAAATCGTGTCTCTCTAAAGTAGTCGCTGTTAACGAATATCGTGCTCTCAACCTTATTAATTAGAATATCACTTCAAGAAATCGCATATTTGAAACTCTGTGCCAGTGACATACAATTTTATTCCATGGACTTCGTTGAAACATTAAAATTTTTTGTCATCAAAAAGACATTCTAGTGTTAAATATAATGATGATGACCTTATTGCCATCCCATTTTATTTTTCTAATAGTTGCAAAATTTCTCGAATTCTTCACAAATTCAACTTTCCGTTCATTTATGTTCACCCATTTAGTAAAATTTGTTTTATTTTTAAAATTTTTAAATGTTGTTTTATTTTTAAAAACTCTACTTCATGTACCTGTAGCTCTTGGAGAATATATAGGATATATTGGAAGTGGTTTTGATATACACTTTTAGACAAAAAAACGTAGCACCAAGAAGGAGTTATCCGAATGGGACGAACATCAGTAGAAGTGGTGTACATGTACAGAAAAACAAATGATTAAAATTTGAGAAAAATTGGATGATTTATTGAAGTGGTAGAGCTTCACAAACTGAAAACGTCAGTAACGCGTTTGTCCACCTCTGGCCATTATGTAAACAGTTATTCGGCTTGGCATCGATTAATAGAGGTTGCGGATGTCCTCCTGAGGGATATCGTGCTAAATTCTGTCCAACTGGCGCGTTAGATCGTCAACATCCGGAGCTGGTTGGAAGGTCCTGCCCATAATGCTCCAAACCTGCTCAATAGGAGAGAGATCCAACGACATTGTTGGCCAAGATAATGTTCGGCAGGCACTAAGGCAAGCAGTAGAAACATGCGCAGTGTGGGGTTGGGCATTATCTTGCTAAAATGTAAGCCCAGGGTGGCGTGACATGAAGGACAACACAACGGGCCTTGGAACTTCGTCGACGTACTTCTGTGATGTAAGGTTGCGATGGATGACAACCAAAGGGCTCCTGCTATGAAATGAAATGACACCTCAGACAGTCACTCCTTAGTTGTCGTCCTGTCTGCCGGAATCAGTCAGGCTGGTATCACACCGCTGTCTTGGGCGTCTCCAGACTCGCCTTCGCTGGTCATCGGGGTTCAGTGCAAAGCGGGACTCATCACAGAAAACTATTCTACTCCAGTCAGTGACATTTCAGTGCAAATGAGCCTGACAGCACTGCAAACGGGCTTGACGTTGTACAGAGGTCAATGGTAGTCGGCGCAAGGGCCGCCGTGACCTCAGCCCCCTTTCTGTAAGCCGTCTATGAATGGTCCTTGCGGTCACTGAAGCACTAGTTGCACTTACAATCGATGATAATGATGTATCTGGGGCTGTGAGTGCCGCTCTGACAACTGCTCGGTCTTTACGTTCCGTTATTTCTCTAGGCCTACCGCTTCCTTCTTGAAGCTGTGTGTGGTCATGGTTCACTCATTCCTGCCAACATCGTCTAATAGTGGCATCGCTGCTGCTCAAATGTCCAGCTATTCGCCGATAAGACCAACCGGCTTCTTTGAGGCCACTACACAACCTCTCTCAACTTCTAACATCTGCGCATATCGTTCGCGCACCTGTATGCGAAGCATAGTTACTGTCTACCAGAGTACACGGAATGCCATTCGTGAAGAATTTATGAGCTGGAATTGTAATTTCTCCTCTTAAATATCCTGCCAGTTGCTCTGTAGCAACAACCGTTCATTCATTGGCAGCCAAAATGTAAATTTTTTTTTTCGTTGTAACCTGTATGCATATCAATTTGTGTCCAGTTTGCTTTATATCTTCTCGGTGCGCCGTTTTTTTTTTTTTTTTTTTTTTTTTTTTGTCTAGGAGTGTATATTGGCCCAACGAAAAGGATAGTTAAAATCTCGCATGAAGAATATTAATCTTATACTTTACGAAAAGAAGTAAATAAAACCCATCGATAGCTTATTATAGTTGTCTCCTTAGGGACAGTTTTGACTTTGAAAAAAATTATTACTGAATTCCTTCAGTTGGTTTCTTGAAGCCTTTCATACACATAAAAATTTATCTCTTTTCGTTAATGATTATTAATTTGAAACCAGTATTTTCAACGACTTAAAATTCTTAACACGCTAGCTTCTGTAGGTTTCATAACATTTTTTGACAGATAGCGCTCATTTGATTCCTCCTTGCTTTTCCAAAAAAAAATAATATTATTGTTCAAAATCGCAATAACAACCTTGTATTTGGTGTACGTATATTAAAACAACTCAATCGATTTCGAGGGCAGCACTGCACGTGGTCGTAACCGGATTTTGAATCAGAGTTACACTTGCAGCCTACTTTTACTGAGCCAGGCTATTTGATCAAACAATTAATACATAGACTAAAACGCAAAGAAAATCAGCGAAGACAAAAAATAGGGAGCGAGGGGCAACTGCACCTTCACATAACAAGTCTGAACCTCGAATGGTGCAGTTTCCCCTTGCTCCCTATTTTTTCACTTCGCTGATTTTCTTTACGTTTTAGTCTATGTCTTAATTGTTTGATCAGATAGGCTGGTTCAGTAAAAGAAAGCTGCCAGTATAAATCTGATTCAAAATCCGGTTACGACCACGTGCAGTGTTGACAACGACCACGTGTTTCTGGGACTCCTTTGCCGATGCTTTAATTTTCTTCTTTTTTCCACTTTCTAGTAATTTCGTTCTCCTGATGAGGAGGGACTTTTAGCTGCCCTCGAAATCCATTCAGTTGTTTTAATACATGTACGCCAAATACAAGGTTGTTATTGCGATTTTGATTGTCACATTGGCGTGCTTCTCTTCTATTCTAATATTATTGTTATCATGCATTTCCAAAAATGTCTGCTGCTGAAAATGCGGGCTATATTTGATTGCCTTTATAGAATTAATAGAGTACAACTTTATAGAGTTTACTTAATTTTTGGCATAGAAAATTAAAACTTAACACTCGCAGTTTAATATGAGTAAAATGCCACGGAAATTAGAAGCTGTGATACTTAATCTACCTTACAGCAACGTATAAACTTCTGAACGAAGACTTGAGATATGAAAATTGTTTTTGATTTCATAAAGGCTTTCCGCAAGCCTTTAAAAAAAACATTCGAAATTTTCTATGACTTCGGACTAGAAACTGCACTGAGCAGTTTTGAAAGAAAGTAAAAATTCTGCATTTAAATGTAAGATATTTTCACTGTGAAAAGTTACTAAAAGATAAAACAATCTCGTAATGATATTTTGAATTTCCTTTTATTAAAAGAAAAATTATAGTTTAAAATAACTCATCTAGAATATGCGAAGAATTTTACTTGGAGAAAAGAAATGAGAAGGTATCTGTGGTAAAATTCGGCGAGAGGCAA